GCTGCCCGATATTCCTGCAGAGCACAGCATAAGAAGTTTGAGAACATAGACACCCCACAGAGCGTAGAGTGCTGAAATGGGCACCTGGCGAGAAACTCCATGACCCATGAACACTTGAACAAGGGCTTGCAAAATGTGAAGGCAAGAGCAGTGAGAAAAGGCAGAGAGACACGGCAAACAGACCAAGAGCTGCCCGAAGATACAGAGCCCGATCCTCGCGGTCCACAACGGAGCAAATTCAGGTCTGCACAGTACAAGATCTGTCATAGTTGTAAGTAATAGCCATTTTCATTGAGATTTGTAGACTCAAATATTTATACGGGAAAAAATTTAACCCGTGGACGAAGAGCAGAGCCTCCGCCGACTTCCGTCAGCGTCGGCTGTCCCTGTCCATCACCGGCACTGCACTGAGGCAACCACTCTCGAGGCGTTGCTTATTAAAGTTGTTATGAAGCTTCACATGAAAACACACCAAAAACATAGGCCTCTTAAGGATGCAGAGAAACGGACCGCCGTTTTGCATTCAAAGCCCTTTGGCGCACGTACGTCAAGCTGTGAGGCAGTCAGCGCCAAAGTCCAGCTTCACTCAACAGTGACGACAGAAAAAAACCTTCCCGACTGAGCACAGAATAGAGTTGAAGGTGGGGCACTCTCTATATACTTGGGAAGGAAAACACACTGGAAGAACAGCACACCACCAGCGGCCGACGCGTCGAGCTATCCCAGTCACAGCCGAATGGCACTGGGTGGCTGCTGCGTTTCTGCCCCGCCCAGCATCCTGAGCTTCGTCAGAGTTTATCATATTTCAGATATTCCACTCAAACCAATCAAATAATATAAATTTACCCCTACAGTGAAGTATGTTGTAGCGGAAACGGGCACAACTGCCCCAACCATCGGACAGCGAATCAGTGTGCACCGACGGGAAAGATTCGGAAATTTACGTCTATGAAGGCTGAGAAAATAAGTTTGATATAGAAACTAATAATGTTCAATATACATTCATGTTTCGTACTTTTCCATGCTTATTATCCCCTTCCACCTATCGCTCCACAGGGACACTGAGCACCGAGTCGAGTCGAGGCTGTCACGTTTGGCTTGCGCTCCGTAGTCTAGCTGCGTTCTTCCAAATTAGTAGAGGAGCAATCTTGAGCTCAAAATCCACCGCAAACGTAGCCAGGGAAAGGGGACGCTTGTTTGATGTTGTGTCAGTGGTGCCCACGTGCGCTCTGTCCTGGACCGCTTAATCCTACTTGAAATGATATATCTGGAGACGGTGCTGGCACAAGCTTTTGTGAAGAACTGAAGACAGATCCACAAAGAATTCCGTCATTGTCGGTGTTTATGAAGCATCGCAAAGGGGGTTGTCAAGCAGCCTCTACATGCAGTCATACTACGTTGGCTGTCTAGGAATCTGGCTCTTTCATCAGCTGCTGAGAGACTAGAATAGATCTGGTATAGATCGCGTTTGCCTTTGGTTTTTCATAGCTTGTTGGGGGCCCACAGCAATGCACAACACTGCATGGAACTGACACGGGAAGCATGAGCTCGCCTTGCACGTAGTCACGTAATCGATTTCTCATTTTCTAACTGCAACCTGGACGTCTACTTTTCCTCCTGCATTTTGTACAGCTTCCACTAGCTGCAGTTGCATTATAGGCACACTTCTCAGATGCACACATGCTGCTTACGATGAGCAGCTTCTTCGTCTTCACGCGGCTTTGCGACCAGCATGAAGGCTATCTTCATGCCCCAATGTCGAGTCTTTTAGGCAGGGCTCAGCATGGGCTCACTGCGCATGCCAAAGTGACATCAGGTAGCAAAGTAGGCCTCGTTGGGGCACTAGGCATGGCCTGCGGCATTGTGGAAGCTTTCAAACGAAAGATATGCCATTGCTGGGTCACCGTGAAGGCATTAGACCATGCGTTTGACCGTCCCCGCAGAGCAACTATCAACACTTGCTGATGCGCTGCGGAAATTCAATGAAGCCCAGCTGCGGCGGTTTTGGTTTTGGCCATATTATTGGAGCGGTTGACATTCCTGCAAAAGTATGTATTGGATGGTTCATACCTCCACCAGGCACGCTAATCCACAGAAGTCCAGCGGATCTGGTGGAAGCATTACCTACATGTTCGAAGTAGCGTCAGCTATTAGCGTGCGCGCCAGTGTGGAGGTATGTGAGTAACCAGAGCCTCCAATGTCTACGCTGATGTTACCAGGAGCAAAGCAAAGACGGTAAAAGCGTTTTCCAAAGAAATCCGAGGAAATAAAAAACACACGGAAATTTCAGACCATATTCTCTCAGCAGCTACAGCTGAGATGGCACCTTTATTTCCCTGCCTTCCACTACAAGATTCCCGTGCTCCTTTGTTCCCGCGCACAAGGCAACTTGAGCAACTACTTTACCGCCTTCTGCAGATGACAAGGGGGGAGCTTTCCATCCTGCCAAATCAGTCTTGCACCAGCCTAAAATAAGTTCAAGCAGCAGAAAAAATACCCCACAACATGGCTTTTGGATTAAATAGAAGCAAGCCTCATCGCAGAGTGAAATTGTTTGCCATCTGCGCGGTAGTGCCCGCATTCAACCCAATTCGCACTATCGCACCCGGGTAGCAAGCAGTCACAATGATTCCTGTTACGTTTGGGGTAAGTTTGCATTTATCTGCTTGGCGGGCCAGGGCAGCAGTCAACGCAATCACTGCGGCCTGAAGAATCGCAGCAGCTCGCAAGCGCTGATGAAAGATCAATTGTCCCTGCAAATCACCAAATATGGCAAAGTACCTGAAAAAGAGAGGCTAATGCACTTGACAGTATGAAGCCCCGCTTGAATTTTTATTAGATGATGGCTGAATCGTGCTTCCCTTACCTTTGAGAACAAGTATGGCAGCCTTGGCCATCCGTGCTCCTTCCAGTTAGGTGCGGCATTGAGGTAGTCGCGCACTGCAGCATCGATGTCCTGGCAACCCAGACATCAGATCAGGTAGGCACAGCAATCAGCCATTCAGCAGCCTGAAACTAGGTAGGGGCTTCGCAATTAGGACTACATGTTCTGAATGATTAGTCAGACAAAATCTCGGTAGAGATCACCTTAACAGTTGTGCAAGGACTCAACAAACGATCGCGGTTCTTGCTGCTCATGAAGGGGGGGCCAGCACTTTCGAGTTTAGAACTCAGGAATACAACTTTTGAGCCGTGCCTGAACAACGGTGCTATGGCCATCGTGATCTGGGAGACAAAAAAAGTAGCACATGCAGTCACTTCATAACAATTAGGAAGATAAAATGCTTGCTTTGTCGACTATTAAAGGTGTAACAGGTAATTCTGGGAGGCAGAGGCTGAGAACTTGCTATTCTTCTCCAAGAAAGAAATATATGGTAGAGCCGGCTTAAAATAATCTGAGGTGCACTAGAGGGGCGAGCGAATCTTACGTCTCTAGTGGATAAGTAGTTCACAGCACAGGTCTCCTTTGCTTGTTCAGTAATGGGCTGCTTAGACCCAGGAGGGAAGGCGATACCTGACACGGTGAATAACGGCTCTGAAAGGAAGCTCTTGTAGTGCTCACTCCTGATGGCATGCAGGTTGCCCTGGCACAGTGGCGAGGGTCCTAGTGAAACATTTAAACGGTTCGGGCCAAAACTCAGAATTGAGGTTTGATTCAATTTGATCGTGTGGTGCCTGACCGGCGTTGTTGATAAGGCAGTCGACGCGCCCATACTTTCCGCGAAGTGTACTCGCGAATCGATTGCGGCTTCCTTCGTCTGCTACATCCAGAAGCTCAAGATTTGCTTTCACCCCGTCCATTGCCAAACTCGAGACCGCATTCTACACACGAACAAGATGCGTGTCAACGCGTCATAATGGCAGAGAGATGTGATGATTCTTGTAACCTACACCTCACCTTAAAGGCAACACTTATTGGCTTCGCTGTGGCACTGTGCATGGCAGTTCAACTACAGCGAGAGCTAGAAAAGCACGCTCAAGAATACCTTGGGCTCCACTTTTCGGCTTTGACTACTGACAATTAATAGAGGGTTTACCTCTCCAGCTTCTTTTGTTCGCGAGCACAGGACTATTGTTGCTTCCCTTAGTTTAAGTCTTTTCCCAAGCTCTCTTACGGTTTCAAATCCAATACCCCTGTTGGCCCCAGTGACGACAAAGATGCGCCTGGACATGTTTGAGTGACGCGATGACTTTCCACGAAGGGAATTTTTGCAGTAAAAATAATGAGTTTCTGACAGGCGAAAATTTTGTGAAGGATTCCAAGTGCGAATTTGACCGCCCGTTGGGTCACCTACCCTTTGCCGAATAGCATAACCAAGGCAACGAAAAATTCAAATGGTTCCGGCATAGGACAAATCTCCGCTTTCGGCAAACAATGTAAAACAAAAACCATCTGAATTCCAATATTTTTCCACGGCTGTGTCGTTAAAACTGTTGGCAGCCCGGAAAGTGTTCGAGCCATGACTCGTCAGCCCCTCAAAGTGACCATCTCAACAAACAGTGCTGCAAGTGCGGTTCCATCTGCCAGTTCTGCCCCAACCCTATAGCTGCCAGATCTTTTCAAGCAAATTGGATGCTGACGGGAACTCGTTTTGAGCCAGACTTTTGCTCGCAGTACACACCCACGCCCGCGGGCGTGGGTGTGTACTTGGCCATGGACGAGGGCCTCAACAAATGCGTCCCCAAATGGAATGGATTAAAATGGGATGACCTTGTCTTCAGGCGAATCATGTCAGAAAAGGCGAATGCCTGACTTCCGGAGGGCGCGCATGGGGGAACAACCGTGCACTGAGCAAATGTTGACATACTCTACTGTGAAAAGCTCTGGAATATTAACATGCGCAATAAGAGCTGAAGCAAACAGCGCGTTGTGAGCTGACACGTGGGGCGCCTGGCTCACAGAAGCTACATATGCGAAATTGAAAAGTGAGGTATCATTTTAGGAGGAGCAACCGTAATGTGCAGTCGCATCGTACAAACAACGCTAAACTCTAGACACCTCACAGCAGCACGGAGCATCCGCACTTGCAGCGGGAAAGCTTAGGCAGCAACAGCGGCTGGAACTTTGGAAGGACTTCCGCTGCAGCATTGGGTAAGTAGATAGCCTGCACATTCAGTATATGATCAATGACTTGCAACGCCTGCCAATCGGCCTCCGATGACGCGTGATCTGTGGCTTGAAAGGTTGGTGCGAACTTCCCATCATTAAGCCAGGGATCCCGTTGATCTCCAAGTGGCTCACCACGCGGCAGCCAAGTGCATCCACTTCCATCCGTAGCCGAGAACTCACTACTCTTCGTACGACAAACATACTTTGGGCACAAGGCTGCAAAGGGCCCCCAGAGAAGGGAAGCTGTGACGATGCCTTCCTCCACAAGTGTGTGGAGAAGAAACTGCACTTCGCAGTCATCTAGTAGACAAAGCATTCCTTGGAGCTGCTGGGCCGTGCTTCCAGGTCTTTGGATCAGCAAGGCCCATAATCGCAAGCACAGCAGCTGCACCAGTGAGGCGTGCAGACGGCCGTCCAGTCGCACCCATGCACACGCTGGGAGCCATTCTTCAACCAACCTCATGGGCGTTAAAAATTCATCTACAGTCGCGGTTTCGACAAAAGCTGCGTAGTCAGGCACATTTGCCGCAAAAAAAGAGCGCCGCTCTGCTCCTACATCACCCCAGGTTAGCAGGGCGCTGTAAAAGGAGCTGGTAATATCGGCCTGCCGGCTATCCTCCGAAGTGCCTTCTTCGCCTTGCGAATGTGACACACTGCCAACGATCAGATGAGAACCGCATTTAATATCCGCTACTGGCGAAGACGGAACACTTCCGTCTTCGTACTGTCGAACCTGGCATTGGCTGTTGGCATTCTTTGAGCCCCACGCTGCCAAAATGGCTCGGGGAATCATCGCAGGTCGGGCCCTTCCCTGCTTCTGGCAGCGGCCACAAGGCTCAACCACACCTCCGCAACTGTTGTCACCTCCCTCGTCAGTTTCCCGTGATTGCGGGAACAAACCTGATGAATCCGCTACAGGCAAACTCTCCACAGCCTGATCTGTCTCGTTTGAGGCTCCATGTAATGCCCAGCGAACTGCGAGCGGATCGCGCACAATGGGCTGTTGTCTAAGACAAAAATGGGAGGCAGCATCGGCAGCAGCCACCAACCGCCAGCTGACCCCTGCAGGAACTGGTACCACAAGTCGTAAGGAACACAACACTGAAACGGAGACCAGAAACAACTGACTAGCACACGCAGCTGCGAAGCGTTTCGTCTCCAAGTCTTGGTCGTCAGCCGCAGCTCCTATGATTGAACTTGGTGGGCGCCTTGTGGGAGCTCTGTGATGAGTGCGTAGCGTATGCTCTTCGTTCCTTCCTAGTCCCAGCTTACATGCAGCCCTCCTAAAGTACAGACAAGAAGCGGTTCGCAAATCTGCAAGCTGCACAGGCTCTCTGCCGCTCCCAGCTCCTGGGTCAGCTGCTGCCTCTCTTGACAGATCAAGGAGCAGACCTGGCACAGCCGCGCCGTCTACTTTTGCTCTGAGTACGCAGCTAAGCAACCAAGCAGGACACAAGGTCAGAGCCAAGCAAACCGTCATGTCCTCATCTACCGCATGCTCGACATCTGGAGTAGTGCTTTGCGCAGGAACAGCAGCAGCCCTTGTAGCGACAGCCAAGCGGCAGAATGCAAGTTCCTTCTCAGCCACCTCGTGAAGCTGCTGAGCAGCCTGTGCTTGGGGTGGCGTAGGAAGCAGTGGCAACAACTCGTGCATTTGAATCCGCAGCGCTAGACGAGCTGTTCCCTTCACAATCTCTAGTAAAGGTGGAGGTAGCTGGTAGTCACCACTTGGCGGTGAGCCACGCCCATGGTTGCCTCGCTCCTTGGGAGAAAGGTTCTGAGGTCCAGAGGTGCCTCGTAGGTAGCTCATGAAAATCTCGAGCGGTCCATCTGCTTTGTGCTCTCCTTCCGTAGCGGAGCAGAGGGTTTGCTCGGGGAGCATGACGTTAGGATTCGAAAAGGCTGCCAGCGGTGGTACGGGTACGCAAATACCGTCCCTCTTTGTCATCACATTGGGTGGGGAGTCGAGGCTTTCTGCCATTCTTTTAAGCTGGGAACTGCCACCGCACGTCGAATTGCACAGACAGCCGGGAGGAGCAAAGGCTTCAACTGCTTTTGCAGCGAATCGCCAGTTCTGCCTGTAGTCATCTGCATAAGTGGGCAGAGACACTGGAAAAGCACCAGGCAGTCCAGGCCTGAGAAGTCGAGGCACGTTTTCCAGAGAATCGTCATCTGCCTCTGTCTTGCCTGTTTCTTCAAGAAAACCAAAGGAGACAGCTGCACATGCAGTACGGTCCGTGAGGACAGGGGGCAGCAGCGACGCGTCAAAAGCATCTAGCTCCCCAGCTGCGCCAAAGATTCCATCGGCAAAGTGGCTTGCGGGGGGAAGCTCCGCTGTATCTCTTCGGGTACAGCGGACAGCGCCTCTTGCATGCATCTCCTGATGCTCTGCTGTTTGCAAAGGAGGCTCCGTAGACCTACATGGCGCTGCGGGGCCTCCCTCCAGCGCTAGCCTCAGTTCTTGGCATAGCCTTCCAATCCCAGAAATGGAGCCGACGTCTTCTTGAGACGACCTGGGCACCTCTATCGGGTTTAAAGATGGCTCAGCAAGTCTTTCTGTTGCGTGTGCTGCCCTCAGTTCACGCGGGATGGATGATTTCAAGAGAGAGCAGGTGACAGCCGTAATCTCAGGTACCCCTGCGGCATGCGCAGTGATGTGTGTCTCGATGCCCCCCTCTGTTGGCTTCCTTACAGGCCTTTCCTCTGCAAGCGGCTCTCCTGAATCGTCTCCACGGCTGAGTGAGATGGCACTTAGCCACTCCGGTACATTATTCCAAAGGCCATCTTCTTCCCGCACAGCTTCCTGCACAGTATTCAAAAATACACACTGCTGTAATCGTTCCCACTCTTTCCCACCCCAACTGCTGCTGTGAAACCGAAAGCCATCCTGAATGCCATTATCGACCAAGCAACCTGCTGGTTAGACTGGGAACTGGCTAAGTGCCAGATGGGCTTCTTAAAAAACAATGAACAATGAGCCTTCTTGCGGAAGAACAGCCTCAGTAGCCAATCATATCAGCATGTAAAAGATTCCACGTGACTCCAGGCGCAGTAGCTTGAGGTTGGAGGACAAAATGCTCTTGCGGCGACTATTGTGAGGGTACGATGCAGAAGTATAGACTCACCAGTGGGTCCTCTTCCTCCAAAAGTTTTAGCAGCTCCGCGTCAGCTGCAGCCTCTGGCGAATCCGGGAGGCAGCCCTCCTTTCCCCAGAAAGGAGACAGCCACAGTGTGCCCCTAGCCAGGCCCTCCAGAGCAGCAAGTGCTTCGCAACCGGACACGTCTGGACCCAAGGATACTGCCACCCTACCGACGACTGTAGCGGCATCGCTCTCCGAGTCCGCTAGCAGCTGAGCGGTAACAGGCCCTGTCAATTCTCCAGCCACTGTGTTCTCTGCTGAAGCAGAGAACTCGCCAGGTTCGCCGGAGATCGACAAGCATTCAGATGAAGGCGGCTGCAGACGAGCGCTCTCGAGCAGCTGAAGGAGCTGGAGGTCGCCTTCGTTGGTCTCACCACGGCCTTCATCAAGGGCAGGCCCTTCTTCAAGATTCTGCCCCTCTTCTTGTGCCAACTGGGCCACAAAGACATCATGTGGCAAATCGTCTGTACCTTTGTTTCCAATGTGACGAGTGGCAGCCGAAGAGGTGCAGGCAGTGGCCCTGCCTGCTAGTTCCTCTGTGCTGGCTGCACATTTCGGGGTACAATTGCCGTGAGATGAGAGAGGCGAAGTCAGCTTCCTTGGTGTCAGCTCCAACGTGGAATGAAGAAGAGAGGACATGACACGGTAGTCCCACAGCCGCCCAAAAAGTGACAGTCGCGAGGAGCTGCGCATCGCCAGAGAAAAAAACGTAGCAGAAGGATGGAATTCGGCTTTGGCACTACGTAAAACGGGAAAAAGACGACGGCACGGAAAGTGGTGAGAGTATACTTCAGCTGTGTAGAAAAAATAGGCAGGACAAACACGTCTCAATATTTTACCTGCTCAGGACGAAAGGGCGACGACATTTGGCCTCGAGGGCTACGGCTATATCCGGCTTTTTGTGTAATTGCTTCCCTGCAGTCTCTGCCGGAGCAGCATCTTTCTTCTCTTTCAAAGAAGGCACAGAGGGAGGCTTGAAGACTGTCACCCAGCCCTTGCGCTGCCATGCTCTCCACAGGGCACTGAGCTCCAGTGGACGCAACTCGCGGAGTGCAGCCAACTGAGTCGCTGGCCGGTAATATGGCAACGGTGTAAAAACAACAGCCTGCGACGAGGCCACACTTGAAATAACCCAGAAAGCTCCGCGAAGAAATTTTTGAAAAGCTCAGACAGAGGGAGCTCTGAAGCGGTACTGTGAATTGCACTCAAGCCAGTGTAAGCCTACCTTCAGCATATTGCGAGCCATCATGATGCGGGGACTGTTTAAAGGACGGCATACCTGAGAAATGCCCGAACAAAAATCACAGTGTAGGGGCCGTGTAGAAAAAAAAGGTTAGGCATGCATGCGGAACTGCATAAGGAGAAGGAAGTGAACGGATCAGTTATTTAGCCCACCAAAGACTTCTTTGCGACCACAGGGGCCTCGCTTCTAAGCCCGCAGTGAAGGCGCAGCTCAAGCGCAGAAGGGATGCGACCCTCCAAGACAAAGTGACGAAGGGACTCTGGATCAAGCCGCCTGACAGTAAACGCGCATACCGTACGCGTCGATGAGGAGCACGCAGCGAGCTTTGAACAACGGCACGATGAAACAACCTACCGAAAGCTACTGAAAATGCGGGAGTTCAAAGACCGCCGACTCAGTACGAAGCCTAAAAACAGCCGCGCCCTAGAAGGCGCCAGAGGGGGCACGCAGAGGCAGCCGAGGATCTGAAAAGTGGAATGTAAAGGCAAAAATAAACAAGCGCAATCGCGATTCGCCAAGTGAACTCAGGGTTAGCAGTTCATGCAGTATTTGCCATCTAGCTCCCTCCGCAGGTCAGCTTCCCGATCTTCACATATGGAGTAAATCTTTCCTTAAGCTCAAATATGTAGCCCAATATCACCATTCGTGTGCTGATGAAAAAAATATATAAGTGGACTCTGCCACACCCGACCTGCCAAATTGGATGCTCCTCTGAGGGAAGAGACTGAGAGGGAGATGGTGACAGCCAGGCCTCCGACAAAGGCCCTCCACTGCGGTTCTCAAGTTTCTCCTCCTGAACCACTGGGCCCCGTGACAGGTTCTGAGGGCTGTACGCTGCCAGCCAGAGCCTCTCCGCAACCACAGCTGCCCCTATTAGTGTGATCTCATCCTCTGAACGCACAAGGGGAATCCAGTAGCTGCGGGATACACTGTAGCATTCCAACGGAGTGCTTCAGCCTCCAAGAAACACTGATTCAAATACCTGGCCTACGATTTGCTGTAAAAGCTATGGATTCGCGTTTAAACCTAAGAATTAAAGTAACTGCGATAGACGTCAGCAGATATAAAAAGGGCTTACCACGACCCATTGAAGCGAGAATTGCCTCTTCATCTACCGAAGCCTAAGGGCAACAGTGCACATGCCGCATGTGAAGGAAAAGCGTCACAGCAGCAGCAGCAACCAATCACAGACGCCATGGAAAGCAAACAGGAGCCACGGTCTCGCGAACATACACAGCCTGGATTAGCAACGGACAGAAGAAATACTAAGTAACAAGGACAACCTTTACAAGAAGTGTGGTGTGGCATTGTGACGTCACAACTGATAGAGCAAGAATGTGACGCCGCTCCGACACCATTCGTGTAAAAATGTGAGAATCACGAATCACTGGTTGTTTTGCCCTCAACAAAATATTGTCCGGAAGCAGTGCGGCACTTTGTCCTCACTCGCAGCAAGAAGCCGCTGGCTGGTACGTCCACTACCTTAACAGAGCCTCGTGTTAAAAGGCGCCCCTCAAAACGCTCGCGAGCTTTCTGGGCTTCCTCATCATGAGAATTCGCCAGCTGTAGTGGATCCACTGGGGTATCTGCACCAGAAATGTTATTTTGGAGATGGTACGGCTTGCTCACATCGATGACTCCCTCAAACTACTGCTGAGGACCCCGCTGCTACCATCTATGGGCTTCTCCTTTACCGTTATCCATTATACACAAACAAACACTCAAAAACATGCGTGCAGCAGGCGATGTGGACAAACACATATGTGTCGAAGTGTGAAGATGGTGGGCCACTGCAGGGGGCTCCAATTCCTCTCTGGCGGTCATTTTTTGATCTAAACTTCCATTCGCGGAATCGCCTAGTTACCTTCTAGGCGAAGTGCCATTATCAAGGCGTCCAAACACTCCTATCCTCTATGCTGTCAAGGCACTTGTGATCCGACCTATTCTCGAGTCTCACCTCTTGCAGGGAATGCAGTGCGGCGTCTTCGTCTGAATTTGCTGAGCTCGGCCTTCTGTTGTTGGTCTTCCAGGCGCCTGTAAAAAGCCCAAGCATGCAGTGTTCTCTGCTGCAGATATTCTGGGGTTTCGCCGATCTCTGGAAAAGACACCAGGCGCTGACAGTGCCGTAAAACTTGCCCGCCTCCCACTCCTGGAAAAACTAACTCGTCACTCTCCACGTTCGGCACACAGTGAGCCAACCAATCCAATCAACGTCCCGGCAAACATCAGAAGCTCCACGAAAAAAGGGAAAAGAGATACTGATTGAAACGTCCACTCACCTCTTGCGCTCCCAAGGCAGAACGTACAAAACCTCATCGGCGGGCAGCGACTCGTGGTGAGCTCTCTCGTAATGCAAGCGCAACGACTTTTCCCACGAATAAAAGTGGCCGCAGCGGTGGCACTGAAATCGCACGTCTCGCGTGCGATGGACTAAGAGGCCAGGTCCCCGGTCTCTATCTGTAGTCTCCGTTTTTGCTGGTGTTCCCAAAACTCTTGCTTGTCCTTCAATTCGAGCCGAGTTGTTGCCCAATGGCCCAGGAGTAGATGGGCAGGTGATGGAAACTTCTTGCTGAGCTGCCTGTCTAGGCATCTGTGACAACGCGGTAGGGATCCTGTCCTCTAAAACTTGGAACTTTTCGTCCCTATCCCCAAAACTGCCCCCGATAAGCAGCGTCTGATTGCTGCGGGAACCGCCCTTGATCTCAAAAACACGAATTAAGTACCGCAACACTGCCTGAAGACAATAACAGACTGCAAAAAGTGACGCGCAGCTCATCCCTTTGCTGAAATATATGCATACATACATGCATATGGAAAAGGCATAACAACTGGCCACCACCTGAGATGCAGCCAGGAGGCCACCAGCGTCTGTTCAGAACAATCGCACGCAAGCCAAAACAAGCTTGCAGACGTCCCCCATCCCAAACTGTTGGGCAAGTATCAATTATTCTCGCCGTAGCAACGATCAAAGATCCTTCCCAGAGAGGCGCTGACACTTCATTTACTCCCAGTGGACTTCATTTACTCCCAGTGGACATAAGTAGCTAGTTAGAACTAAAACACACATCTGCTGGGTATCCAACTCGTGTAGACAGCTCAACAATTTGCGGCGAAGATGCATTGAGAACGAAGGCCTCTAATTCAGCGCCACTGGCGTCTCGCAATCTTTCCAGGGTCTCAGCCGCGAAAGAATCCATGGCTGCCTGCAACAACAGACGTAGCCACATACCAGGCCTAAACAAACAGTGACTCATGCAACGGTTCCAAGCTAGCCCGTGGTTGCGGCCAAGAACATATGCAACGGTAACATGCATCCCTGGGAGACCATGAACTCAGGAGAGAACTAACCCTCGCAGCACCAGTAAAGGCCACCTGGCCCTTCCAGTTCTTTGAGTTAAATGCCTCAGCGACAGGGAAGACTTCTGGTAGCTGCACCTGAAACAGGCAAGGACAGCAGTAGCCGTGGTATTGCGCGGGGCCCAAAGCGTGTCGCATTTACATGCACTAAAGTATTCAAAGAAAAACTTCATAATGCATGTCGAAAGGTGGCCAAGCCAAACGTGTCAACAGAACGTTTTGAACAAGCGTTTGTGTATGCATACACTAACAGATGACTGCGTGTTATGCATTTGATGGGTCCCCCGTATCCGAGCAAAACCAGACATACCCGCCTGCGGCTCGAGTAGTGTGTGTCCTCGGTCGCCTTGTGGCCCACCAGAGCCTCTGTATCCGACTGCTGTAAATCCTCGCCTGTCCCTGAGCGGGGAGAGAAAAACTGAGAGGGCTGTGAGTCACTACCCATTGCCCAAGTCATCTGGCGTTCCTCCAAAACCCATTGCGAGACTTGCAGCTGCAGCTGCTGCCAGTAGCTTTCAACGCCTTCGTGCGAAAGACCATCGAACTCCTTAACCTGCACGCTCGGTTTCTCTCCGTCCTTCACTGCTATCTGCAAACCACCGAGGCACATATCAAGTGCAGAAATTGCGTAAACCACCACAAGCAGGATTCTGCGGGAAGCGTGCGCAGCACCTATATAGCAAGCAGCAGCAGCACTTCACTCGTTGTCTTCACAAGAAACGGATATGTCTAGTGACATACCGCAGAGAATTCCGGAAGCCGCAGGACCTTATTCAGTCGCCATGTGTGGGCCCCTGGAGGTGCTTTCGAAGTGCGACCTTCACTGTTTCCTTCGGGAGCGACCTCTACTTGAGATACTATCCCCATCCGACCTACAAACAATCAAAGTACACGCCTTTCAAGCCATACGCTGCTGCCCCATTCATCAAACGTGAGAGTACGGGTGGAACGAAAACAGAACCGCTGCACTCGCCGCAGTCAGTAAAGCCGCAAGATAGGCCCATGGCGAGCCCCAAAAGCAGTTGTTTAGCGGCCAGTATATGGCCAGGGGCCAAGAAACAAACAAAGCAACAACGTGAGGCAGCAACAGCTGGAGTGAAGGCGCACCGAGAAGAGACAAGAGTTTCCTGACGGCGGTGCCAGCGTTCTTTTTTCCAAGTCCTAAAAGAGGCAAGTTCGCTTTCGGATGCAGTTGCCTGTAAGACTGCAACTGTCGGCTTGAGAATACAAGTAGCCTAAAAAGGGGACCTGGCAATTTGTACAGGGGCTGGCGGGAGGCCGAATCCTTCGCGAGGTGCTCATCCAGTAGCGGCAAAGCGTAGCCACAGCCGATCTGAAATGCAAGCAGACGCCCAACAAAATCTCGGCAACTAATTTACAACCCAAAGTTCTCGGGATTGATTATCTGCTCGTTCCCTCCCTTTTCACAAACAAATCCCGGAAAAGTCAGACAGAATGGTTATCACGCCGTCAAAACAAGATAGCAGCTTTAGGCTGGCCCGTGAGAGATCCACAATGATCATGGTGAAGCCTTCAGAGGCCATTAACAGGCCTCCTCTCACCAGGCGAAGAAACATCTCCAAGGGCATTCGGCGGACCATAGCAGAAACGGTGAGACGGGCACCCTCTGCAGGCATGAAAAAGGAAAGACTACTCTTTGTTGCTCAAGTTATAGCGGTAGCTCTCAGGGAAATTAAGGAGATCCACAAGGCATCTTGTTGCAAGGTCGCCGAAATCCTTCTTACCCTGACCTTCAGCAGGAAAACTTCCGGCGAGACCCAGGAGCTGCAACGTAAGCGTAAGTAGGTACTGGTGGAAGCACTTGGCGCGGATCATGACTGGGAATATAAAGCCGTAAAAGGCTAAATGCCTCTGGCTAAACGCAAACTTGTCCTGGAGAGATACCCGAGGAAGCGTCTGAATTTGCCCCACATAGACACGCTACACAACTCTATCCATGACGAAGATACGCAGGCATCAAAAGAAAAAGCAGCGTTGCTTGCATGCGATTTCCCTTCCGAACTGCCTGATGTTTTTCGTCGCCTGCACGTGACCCTTTATAGAGACCACAGGCAATGGCAGCACTAACAACGGACGTTCTGGAGGGGCTTAATATCTATTGCACTGCTGTCCACTCTTCCTTTCTCTCCTACCTTATCGACCATAAGTAGAGAAGCCGCTGTTGCGGGAGGTCCAGGCTGCGTCACGCTGTTGTAGGCGTTGCGGCTTTCAAGCTCCGCTAGACGAGAAATCTCTCGTTCGAGACCCTTCAGTTGCTTTCCTACGAGCGACTGTGTTGATGAGTCTGCTGCCCTCAGGTCAGATGCAGGCAACTTTTGAGTTTCCGATTGCACCTGTAGCTGGGCTGTCGAAATATCCAGGCAATCATTGCTGCTCATTTGGAGCTCGGGAACTCGCATAGTGGCCGCGGGTGCTCCAGCCAGCCGGAGCTCTTCGCCCTGGGGAAACGATCACAGCTCCTGAGAACGCTAATATCCGTAGAAGGCAGAAACACGGGCCACGCCAGCCCCACCAGTCTCCGCTGTTATCTTGGAGCCTCTACCCCTTGAATGCGCCCTCAGAGCTTACCGCCTCCTTGAGCTTCCCCTCTAGCAGTAACTGATTCCGTCGGATAGCTTCCCGACAGCCATGGGCCCTCCTTTGGGTAATCTACGCAGAGCAGAGATGAAACAAGCCAAGTGTCCGTGTAGCACTTTGTAGAAGCAACAGTTCTGGATGCCAGTAACAGCAGCATCAATAACTAGTGAGGCCTGGGGAACAGCGGGACAACCGTTGTATATGGAAGTGCTGGAACCATGAGGCGCCTGAAAATGACCCCACCAGCGCAGCGACGCGTTGCTCTGCGGTTTCTTCATCAAGCGTTTCAGCCCAAAAGAAGAAGGTGATATCTGCAAAGGTTGACAGCCCTGAAGGGCCCTCTAAGCGATCGGCTGAGCTCTTCGATGCGGCGACACGGCCCCTTCGGATTCGCCGCTCAAGCTGCATGGCCACCTCCGCCATGCGGTGCACCGTCTTCCTGAGATGCGCAAAGTCGCAAGCACTGCAAATATGCACCTTGAGCGGGGGAGAATTCGGTCAGGGAGGCATGGAAAGAACAGACGCTTCATCAAGAGGCTTCGCAAAATCACGTCGTTGAGGGACAACTAATGGACCTCACAAAGAGCCAATGAATATTATCTGTTTGGCCGCCATCCAAGCCTTCTTAATGAAGTCTGGTGACGGCCCTCGTACGAATTCCGGTGGTCCAGTCAGTCGCTAGATCTCATTCCTTAGTTAGCAACATATAGACAGTTTCGAAAAGAGGAATTGGAAGCTAGGATCTTGGGTTTGTACTCATCCTCCCACAAACGTTGTTCTTACCTGTCAGGGCCATTAGGCGTCTTCTCCGCGTCCGCGATGACTTTGCTTATTGAAGGGATCGTGCAACAACCAAACGACTGGACAGCCTGCTGAAAGAGCACCAGGCGCGCCACGAATTGGGGTGTCTCTAACAGGCGCAGTGTACGAGGCGGCAATTTCTCTCGAATTGCTCTCTCCTTCATTTCCCTCAGCACGCGTTGGATGTCCATATCCGGAGATGTGGGCGTAACACGATTACATGATGCACTCCTCTCAACAGCGCCACTCAACGACGTCGATAAGACAATCGTAACCAGAGCACTGTCTCCTGCCACGCCTGGCTCTTGTGCTGTTGCCGGCACAGCAGCGGGAAGGGCCGCATCCGCTTGTTCTATGCACCCTACGGCAACATCTGCAGGGGACAGCAAAGTATCAGATGCTGCTGCTACTGCTGGCGACGAAGGGGCCGTACATTTGGCAGCGGTAACAGCTGGTGATGCTTCAGTTGTGTGCTTCTGTTCCACCTCGTTCAACGTGGCCGGTAGCTCATGTCGACAACGAGATCGCTTTTCAGTGTCCCCATAAAGAGCTTCTGCATTTTGGGGTCTCTTGCGCCCCCTCACAGTCCCAATGCCTCCTCCGACACTGAGTCCACACCGGGCCGTGGAGTCCTGCTCTTGATGTCTCCCGCCCTGATGGCGTGCTGATCGGTCATAACAAGCTTCCTTAGCTCCCCTTTCCCTTGCTTCTTCTGTTGAAACAGCAGCAGCACCACCAGCAGCAGCTGCTGATTCTGTAGCAGTGGGAAATGAGGCTTGTCCTCTCACCCACGGCGTTCTCGATGGGATACGAACTATTGCTGAATAGAGTGATACTTGTTTCTTGGCGACTTCTGGGGTACCAGTGTAACCACTTGCAGTTAAGAGGGCCGAACCTGCTCTGTTGTTCTTCTCGCCTCCTCCGTCTTCTTCCGAACCTAAAGCAATGTCAATGCTTTCTCTGTGAGCTTCAGTCTCCCTGAAGCAGCAGCAAACAAAAATAGAGCCACTGCACTGCACTAAAACGTTTTGCCAGCTCCTACCATGCAAAATTTATTGAGATTGCACCAACGATTCTAAACAGAAAACGAAACACTCGATAGCAGAGCTGGAGGCTGTAAAGGCGAGTCGGGACTTTACTGTACGCAGTGTGTATCACTATTTGCCGCAAGCCAGCACTCACACCCTTGCATTCGAGCCGGCCGCGTCGGCGGAGGGCGACTCGGAGAGTAGTGCCTGGAAATGGGGCAGATCCTTGCTGATGTATCTGTACAAAAAGCACTTACCACGCCTCTCTGCCACTCGCGAGACTAAATTTCGCCTAGAAAACTCCTGAGACAGAGTCACCCCATAGGAATCAAAGTGTACTGTGCAGCGCACACGCGTCTCACTAAAACAGACAAACGCCGTAGTTGCTACAATCCCAGCAATCCCGGCAGACTTCCAGTGTAGGCACGACTCTGAATATAGGCGAATTAGAGGCAATGTGAAGCCAAGGGCGTCTACAAGAGCACTTGTGAAAGGGAGTGCAAGACAAAGGTTCAACTGAGGAGCAGAATGGCACACCGCCAAAGCCTTCCCGCTGCGCTTAATATCGAGTCCTAGCAAACGGGACAACTCCACGGTGGTCAAACCTTCCGGGCCAGCCGCAGTTAGCAAGAGAGATGCCAAAGTGGCCAATGGCACCCCATCTAAGTCCACCCTGTACTCACGAAACAGCGTCGAGAACGTCCAAGCTGCACCAGTGAAGGCGTGGTTTGCCAAAGCATCTGACGCTTCTCTCGAGCCTCGCAATGAAACTGCCACACCACTCGGAGCTCTTTGCCCATATGGCTACCACACCTACACTTGTGAAGGGTCATCTTCTCCGTCTTCCACTTCTACTACAGTACTTGACAGACCTCGATCTTCTTTTCTATTGCCTACATCTGGGATATTGGCGGCCTCCGCAGCCGCTGTAACTGTCCCTTCTTCCACTTTGATTTGGGAGCTGCGGAGCCTCACAGAAAGCCCCATCAGGATCCAGAAGTAAAGCTATGAGGTAAGCCTCGCTCCCCAAAGTACTTACTAATACGCTGGCATCATAATAGGAACTCACAGACCCGCAAAAGGAGACCCTCTACAAAGCCAATGGTCACCGGATATGGTAAACGCAAGCGTAGTAAAAGTAATGGGCTTGGATTCACGTAAACTCACATCATCTTGTCACCTCCTGTCTCGCTTTGGTTGTCCTGGGCCTGTGGTATCAAGCTTTTAGCTGTAGTGCGTGGTGCCTCGAAGGGGCACAAAAGAAGACATCGTTCAAAACGAGCTGTCTGTCTGCAAAAAGCCCTCACCCGTTGCACTTGGTTACTTCGCTCTAGAGACTCTCGCAGCTTGTAAAACAGGCGATGCAGCTGCTTGTCGCTAAAACGCAAGTACGGTGCCTGCGCGGCAACAACGGCACGTGCCCAACCAACAGCAGAGACAGGAGTAATCGAAGCAAGACAGCATTTCGAAAAGCAGAACCCGAGGCACGCAAACTTCGTGGAAGCCACCAGCCGCAGAAGCAGTGCGACAGCAGCAGTACAAACAGTAGCAGCACCATTAAGGCGAAGTGGGGCGCCTCCAGTATGTGCTTACCTCATCAGATGTGAGAATTTTGGAGATGCAAAACTGCTTGACCTCCTCTTCAAGTAAAATATTGTTGGGCGCCTTGAGCAGCAGCCGAACCGCTTGCTGCTGCAGCGGCAGCAAATGCTGCAGAGCCACAAGACCTCTTAAGTGGGCCGGAAGTCTGACGGGGGAGAAGAAACTGCTACTCCACAGCAAAGCAGACATGGTGAGATTCGTCCTTGGTGTCCCCGGAGAAGGAGAAATTGTTCCTTCCAGAACATGGAGTTCAGCGGGAAAATCCGAGCCCGCTCTACTCCGACTCGGGCCACCCGTGGAGCCCCTTCGCCTCCCCAGCTTGTGAGTGGGTGGTATGGAGAGCTGCATATGGCAGATGAGCTCATCTCTGTACAGGGGCTTCAAGTGGTGGAAAACAGTTTTTGGATCCATCTGCAGCTCCTGGGCTATACGATACTGCCACTGGCCTGCACCAAAATCCACAAGAAACAGCCAAAGAAATGAGTACAAGAAGTAAACCAGCATATCACACACTATCAGATGTACCATGGGACGAACCCACACCGTCAGATGTAGAGTGAATCACCCAGAACATCAGTAGCGTCACAACCAACGAAAGCAACGCCAAAACTGCCACTGCAAATACAGGTGGCAGCAAGCGCTGAATAAGTGGAAAAGACCACCACTATCTTCAAAAAAGGTATGTGTATTTCTGTCTCTAGATAGGGCCATTGGTATTGCGCTAGCATGCTAGTTACAGAACTCACCGTTCTCCTTGTGACAGGAAATATTGCGAAGGATTTGAAAGGGTATATCCTTTACTCGGCGTTCATAGTCCAGCCGATCACTGGTCAAGTCTGTGGCTGTCAAAAGCCTAACAGGAACTTCTGCACAGGCTGCCAACAGCCACTGTTTCTGTTGTTCTAAGGATGCGTCTGGGGCTACAGTTGCTGCTGCGGACTCTGCAGGAGTAGCTGAAGGCTCCCCTGCTGTGTTCCATGTAGCTACCTCATTTATCCTTTCACTGTTGCAATAAATGGTGCTAGGCACTCCCAACAAATCAGGAGGAACCGCAGGGTCCCTCCACGTTACCAGTCTCGCATGGTTTGCATGCGCCTTAGCAGGTGCAGCAGGCTGGGAATGCTGCTGGGTCGTGAGTGCGGGGAACAGAGTGAAATCAACATCGTGGCAACAGTAAAGCGAGCGCCAGAGAACAGCCTGGAGGGAAGCGCAAATAAAACAAACGCCGAATTTCAAAGAGAGATCTGTGTCACTCCAAAAGCACTTTCCTCACTAAACGGCGCGTTCTGGTTTTCAAGTATCCACTGAGGGGCCGGACAGTCTATGGAGGCATCAAAAGTCTCTTCGTTTCTAAATGTGACCACGTGAACAGAAAAGAACGAGAAGCAAATAGAAGCAAAGAAGTTGAGCGTTTACTCTTGTGAAGAGGTCCAAGTCAAAGTCCTTCTCTTGATGCAAAATTTCACAGAGCCTCTCGAAGGATATCCCAGGAAATGGATGCAGAGCTAATTCCTCCAGCGCTGCAGCCCTCAGTGCTGCCTCCATCTTGAGGGGGTAAAGATGGAGGAGCCCAGCTAGTCGCTGCTGTTGTGTCTCATGTTTTTAAGTGCCCTTGCAGACACAGATTCACGTGTCCCTCCAGCCAACGCCATTCCAGAAGTCGGAATGGGGACCACGCGCCATGTAACAGCTGGATAGTGAAAGTAGATGCGCAAAGGCGGCCCGGGGACGGATGACCCCAGAGCCAACAACCAGCGAAGGCCGCAGAGAATCGCTCTATATAGGAAATCCAACGAATAGAATGCACAAGAATATTGAATAGCAGAACGAGCAGAAGGTAACAAGGCGAAAATGTAGACTCGATGAGAGACCGTCACGATGGCTACGCGCCCAAGTCCGGGTGTGGGACCGTGGGCGGGAACGCAAGAAATAAACCCGTGGTACTGCAGGCCAACTCTAAAAAATGAATTTTAATTCGAGCTATCCCTTATTGAGAAGCTCATGTAGAGGATCGAGCCTGTTCCATCGCCACGTCAGCCCCAGGAACGCACATGCCAATTTCACCTAGGCGGACTCACCCGCGTTCGAGACCCAGTGGATAAGAGAATTCCATGACGGACACATCATGCCGGCTTGTAAGTCCGAAATTTGTTAAATCCTTTTGCTCCACTTCTGACATGGAAGAGGACTGCATGCACACGTGTCATCCGTTTATCTGGGGTTTGCTTCGCGCCATATTGTTTCCAGCGCAGTGCCTGCTTCCTCTTTGGCGCCCTACAATGTCTTGAATAAGCATTGGTTTGCGTGCAATTGAATGCAGAAAATCTGAAGCCTGCCAGCGAAATGCGACTATCCCCAGCAGCGCCGTCACAAATCAGGGATGTCAATGCAATGCGTCAAAAACCATAGCCAGGGACCAGAAGAACACGCGATAAGTTGAACGCAAGAACGCAATATGCAGCAGTATCAGCAAATTTGCACTACCGCTCGACCTTGACGGGAAACTGGCGATAGTCTCTCGACTAGTAAGGGGAAAACAAACGCTTCTTTGCATTATTGCGGTAAGAACAAGGCAACGCTTCTTCGGGCTGCGTCTCAAACGTTTGTCCCTACAACATAGATTTACTCTAGATGGCAAGGACTGAACAGTTCATGTCGCCACTCGTGACCTGAGTAAGTAGAACTGAAGCTGTAATTCAAACTAACACTGGTCACTGAAGCTTCGCTCTACTCTCACGTATTTGCGGCTTGCGTTGACGCTGATTTGTGAGAGGCAGAACTCAGTTACATACTAACTGCACGGTGATGCAACTTCAACATTTCTTCGTGTGTTGCAGCATAGGCCTGTGCAAGCTTCCTTGCAATATATGTTAATGCATTCCCAGTTTAAGTTTCGGATACAACTCCACATACGAAATGCGTTAAAACTTCCACACAAGCATATATCAAGAACTGTTGGCTGTTTAGCCCCGGGCTCTGCGGCTTTTGGGCTTTTTCGGTTTCACATTTGTCCCGTATTGCTCAATTTTGTGAAATCGCGCAAAAGACGGGCGTGCTTCCCACGTGGTATCCTCCTGCAACACTCGAAACGCAAGTTATTACGAAAATCAGCATGTGGCAATTCTTGGTAAAATGCGGAATTTGAAACTATCGGCACAGTACACAAATTTCCACGTTGTGCTGTATTGGGTTGCTGCCAAAACCGTTCTCACTTCCTCTTCAGCCTTCTCAGCCAGATGATTTTCTGGCTCTTCGCAACGCGAGAAACGAAGTTGCCCTAAATGTCGTTCTGCAGTAAGCAACTGAATGTCTGACGGCGTTGGTCCTAACAGGATCTCCCCGCGAGAAGCATCTCTTTGCACCAGGTACCACATGCCTCCAACCTGCACATATCTGTCTTGGAGAACAGTCGACGCCTGTAACGGGTTGCTCCCCAGAGAGGCCAGATAGACTGAAAGCAGCTCTGCATGCATCATAAGCAAACGTGAATCACAACAAGTGGTGAAACTATGAATTACCCAACTGACAATTGTCGATCAGCGCTATGCGCGCCCGTGAAGAAACGGTAAAGAAAGAAAGTGATGCTCACCGGCCGGGTCCGCATCAGGATCCCCATCTATGCACAACCGCAGCAATCTCTGGTGCGGCTGCAGTCGCACTATATCCTCTGGGTGTTTACTTAGACTGGAGGGCGGTCCAATTTGTAGGGGTAAACCCTTTAGTTCAAGCTTTAGCCCTTCGTGAGGCTCTGGGTGAAGGTATCCTTCTCTGTCGGTGTGTCTGGGACTCGTGCACTGCGCTGTCTTCCTTTTTTTCTCTTTCTTGCTAGAACCTTCATGGATAGAAGTCCTGGGCGTTCCACAGCTCACATGATCCCCCGAGTCAGAGCTTCCATGCACCATGCTCTCCTTTTGGCTATCACCTAAGCCCAGCACAGACTCCAGCAGTTCCGCTGCAGCCTCCGACTCGGAAGAGGATTCGCTGTCGCCTGAAAACATTTGAAAGTGCTTCTCTTTGCGCCTTTCAGTTTCCTTTTTTCTCTTCTCGTCGAAGCTCTTCCTGTTGAGGAGTATGTGGGTGCAGCCTAACTAACCGTCTTTAGTCAAGTAGAAGGCTTACAGCTGTTGCGCCTTCTGCCGTTATGACCAGTGGATCTCATGATTCATCCAGCAATAGTCCTGTATTTGCTGCTGTTACTCTCTAGAGGCCGTTATGGCATTTCTTCAAAGTGGAAGAGTAGGCAGCAGGACGGCCGGGATCCCTCCAGTAAATTAGTTTCGTTTCGGTGCTTCACACGGCAGGTCCACTGCCTTTCTGAGCCCTCTATATCTGCTTACATCAAACTGAAATCTTGCTGCACCGAGCTGCAGAGTATAGAAACTAGAAATCTCGGTCAGTGACCTCTGAGGGCAATGGCGCATCAAGCCCTAGCAACGTCTTGTAGGTAGCTGGCCTGCATGTAAGGCAGCATTTGGACAAACGAACTGAGAATTAAATAAAAAATAACACATGCATATCTACATTTTACAATTTTATGTTTTCTGCGGATCCCACCCCGTTGATTTGCGAGCATCAGCCAGGGAATCGATTGGCGTGGGGCCCCACTGCAATAGAGCACGTTCAGCAGCGGGCCCCCTGTACTTCTGATATCTGACGGGCTCCTTTTACAGTGCACGAGAGGCGTTTGGTTCTAACTGGGGAAGAGAGATCCCCAAGAGGCCACCGGTCTTGCCCCTGACCCTTGAGGATTTCCCGCGCTTGCCCTTCGTACTGCAAGCTGCAGAAATGAAGGGCCCTCGAGCTAATAGAAAGGTGAAGGCCCAGCGCCATGGGAGGCCGTCTGTTCGACCGGCACGGCGGAGAGGACCAAAGAAGAACCAGAAAGCCCAAGGCAAAAAAAGGCTAACGGAGAAACGAACAAGAGAGCAACAAGGTGGGTTCCTTCCAAAGCGCCCAGATATCAAAGGCCTCGACAGTGACACTGGTTCCAAAGCTGCGCGCAAGAAGGCTGAGCGCAAATTCAACAAACATGCGAAGAAACAAGTTCAGGCACAGAACACTGACGGAGATAGGGAAAACAAGGACTTCAAAGGTGCAAAGGGTCCCCAACGGCCTCAGGAAAGGCCCCGAAATGGCCAACTCAAAGATGGCGCCTTGAAAGGTGGTCGCAGCGGCGAAGAGCCCCGCAAGCGGAAGCTTGTGAATGGGCAGGAGAGGTTGCGCGCTATCCTAGACAAGTTTCCGCATCTGCTTCTTCCTGGTGAGACAGCGGACGCTGCAGTTGCTGCGTGCTTTAAGAAGGCAGGAAATTCCAACAAAGCGTTTGAAACTGGTCCTTCAGAGTGCGCTGAAAACGAAGCACAAGGAGTCTCCGGCGATAGCCAGCAACGGCAGCAGTTGAGCGGCAGCAAGCGTCGTAAGCTGCTGAGGCTAGTGATCAACAGCAAAACAGCTGAGAATAAAGTGTTTGTACACGAGTCGTATCAACTCTACAATGACATACTGCGCAGCATAAGAACAGCAGAGGGCCCTGGGGGAGCCAGCGAAAGCTCCGACAGTCCTGGTGAACCTGGTGCTCCCCGCCGCAACAAGGACTTAAAGAGCTTGGTGAAGAGTGCCGTGAACTTCTTAGAAGGCCCGCTTTCCCGAGTGCGTGCGCGTTTCCCAATTCTTTCGTGGCGTTTAAGTGCCAAGCTGTTCCTGCTGATGCGTGGTGCTGCTAACGCGTTCTGCAGCGTCAGTACACTGAGCATTGTACCGACACTACATGATGTGTGCGCCCACAGAAGGACCGCCACAGCTGCACAGCGCGTCTCGCCCAAATTTGTTTGAAATATGCTGAGGGAGACACCCGCAAGCGCCTGTGGGATTTGCTTTCTAGTAGGCTTATCAAAGCTTGGTCACGCCATTCCGAATGAGTTCAAAATCCTGATGTTTAGGGTCCATGCGCTGGAGCTTTATCTGGTTTGTTTTGGCAGTGCGTTGAGCGTGCTCAGAGGACTTTACCGTCTTCTGCGAGTGCAAGTCGTTTCATCATGTATGCATTAAAATGTATCTGTACGGCACTACGGAACAAAAGGAGAAGCTCGCAGCACTGCTGGCCAGTCGCAGAGACACCGCATTTACAAAGGTGAACTACGAGGCTCTCTATATTTTTGTCATCATTTATCTCTTGCTGCCTTGCTTTCTTTCATCATGTTTTGCTCTAATTCATTAGTTATGCTTTTCCCAATTGTTTCCTGAGTTCTGCCGGGATGCTTACTCCCGCTTTTTACCTGTTTCCTTTTCTTTTTACCTGTTTCCTTTTCTTTTTTACCTGTTTCCTTCCATTACTATTTACCCTCCGAGTTCTTCCTCTGCTTTGCTCTGCATTTCTTGTGGCTAATAACCTGGGGCCGCAGAAAGTCCCCTACTGAGCGTTTCATCGGCTCAGCGTTTTTTTCCTGTGCAGCATGGTGCAGCCGTCTGGGAGTACATTTATACCTCTCAGAAAACAGCACTGGGGTACGCTGCACCTGAGGGATTCGCAAATTGCAGTTTCACCCCTGTCTGTCACTATCATGGATTTCTCAAGTCCTGGTGTACCTACAGCCTTAATTACTTGAGAACCCCTGGATGTCGTGGGACCACCGCTACAATCTTCCCTGTAATGTTCCAACGAGGCCACCGAAAGCCTCCTAAGCGCACCACATAAACATGTGGAGCTTTATAGGAAAGCCTGGGTGCTGAGAGCGTGCGGCGCACGCATGTTTTCTGATATTGGGACTCTGGTAATTGCTTGCATGGGATGTTTCTTGTGAGTTTTCAGGCAGCAGAAGCTGCTAAATTCTCTACTGCTGGAGCCGGCGCTGCTTGTGGCTGTCCCAAACGTGCTGCAAGCGGCGTCGTTTGCTCAGGTGGCAGGACTCCTGTCGGAAGAACAGAAGGCCACGACCCTTGGTAAGATACTGCCGCCAGCAATCCGGTGTGCGTGCACTGCGAAAGGAGACGGCTCGCCGCTGTCTGTGTTTTGCTTATGTGCATCTTTCTGGTGTCTGTTCATCTCTTGCTTTCCTGTACTGCAGAGAAGATCAGCACTTTTATTCAAAAATTTGTCGACAAGGAGCTGCTAAGTAAGGCGTACGTACACCGCATTCTGAAGGGTTATTGCAGGTGAGAGAGAGTAAGAATCTGAAGCCAAACTATCTGGGAATGGTAGGCATTAGGTCGGTTTAGACTGTCCATCTATGCACTCTCTTACAGCCGCCAGAGTCGTTGCGTGTTTATCCTGAAATTGACCATTGAGCGGCTATGTTTCTGTGATATTTCTGTTTGTGTGATGGCAGTCAAAAAGAAAACCGTGTCCTGTCTTTGTTTCTATCGTTTGTGTGTGCATTTTCGCGTATAGTTGGATATGATCTGCTCAGTTTTTGTCTGTCTTGCAGTGTGTGTCCTATCGTCACGGTCTGTTGCAGTCTGTGTGTCATCTTCGGTTTTCAGCGTGGCTTCCGCGGAACAGCAAAGCGCTATCTGGAAGACCGTCTGCGAAGGCGCCCTGCACCTGGCCACAACCAAGGATGGCGTGGAAGTGAGGCCCGTAGCGAGAGGCGCTCCGTATTTAGCTCGGACTTGTAACTACTCTCTAGGGCAACTTGAGGACACACATACATGCGCACTGCATTCTTTATTTTTGGGTGCTCACTTTGCCACGGCATGGAGCTCATCTGCTGAAGGTATAGAGCTGAGTGCTTAGGGCGTATTTTCGGTTTGTTGCTGCAGGCTCTGTGCTGCATGTTGGGCTTCGCGACCGCTAAGGAGCGCAAGGGGTTTGTTAAGGGTTTGAAGCAACACTGTGTGGCGTTCGCTACCAATGCGGTTGATTGCGTGCTGCTGCTGCGGCTGCTGTTAACGGTGGACGACACAAAGCTCCTCAGTGAACAGATTCTCAAGGCACGGCTGCATACAAGGGACAGGGGTTTCAACATATTTGCAGACAGCTTAATAAGTACTTCAACGGCGCACAAGTGCTTTTGCACTTACTCAGATGACGTAGTTATCTGTCGGTGACTCCAGTTTTTGATATGCGTGTCACGTATATGGTGTAGCTTGTTTGGACATGTTGCTTCCTCTGTACTGCTGGATGCTTGTAAGCATACAAAGAGGCGGGGGGTTTGTTTCTGTCGGTATGGCATAGAGGCTAAAACGGGCAGTGGATTGCCGGGCATTTGGCTTTTTGTATGCGTATCGACGGCCACGGCTCCTTCATGTATCTCAATGCATTGCATGCACCTATTTGTTTCCACAAAGGCGTATTAGGCCCGCATGTGCCTGCTTGTACACGCATTCGCAGATGGGTACTCACGCGCACAAGCGCACAACCGTCCTTTGCAATATTACATGTATTCATTGCATGCGCCTCTCTCCTACTACAGGACGCCGTATGCCCACATGAGCATTCCTGTACACTAGCTGCAGATAATCCGACGTAGCTAACGCCCTACATGCGCGTTTATTACCACATGTACATACTTTGATGAGTACAATTGCACACAAAAGAACGCGTGCATTTACAAATATCTACAAGGGCTTGCCTGCGAATATAATCATGTTTGCGCATACGATATGGATATGTATAGACTTGTACATGTGGTATGTACGTATACGAGAGGTTAATGGTGTCAAGTTTTGCATAGCTGCGTAGTTGCCGTGTCTGTCAGTGTATGGCGCTCAGTGCGCAGAGCACAGGAAACAAAGGGCGGGGCATAGGGCTGTGATCCAAGTGAGCAGACTTGATTCGCTGGGTGTCTCTTGTGATTCATTCATGTTAATCGCTTCAGGAGATTCTGCCAAAGTCCCTTGATTTGGCGTTCGACCCCTACGGGCACCTGTTGCTGCTCCAGCTACTGCAACAAGATGGTGTGTGCAGGCAGCTGCCAACGCACTACCAGGCCCTTCTGTCGCTACCCTCGCCCACCAGGTATGTTCCCCCTAGCAATAAAAGCGCATAACACCAGGCCTTTCTCTGACAATGCGTTTCATTTGTTGCTACTGCCGTTGCTTCTTTCGCATAACTGCTTTTATCCGTTGCAGTTGCATTTGCATTACCATGCCTTCTACTTTGCACCCATCTGTGTGCAGGTGTGCCCCTTTTCGTGTTGCTTTTTTGTCAGCTGGGGGAATCACTGTGTCTGCCTGCATAGTGTCTTTTACACCACAGACATGGCGCCAGATATCCCAATCCATCTTCGCCGTTTCTTACTTTCTTTCCATTACCGTGTAACTCGCATTTTTTGGATTGCCATTTTACTGCAGCCTCAAGTCGCTCTCTCAGCGGTTATCGGAGCTGCGGCCAACTATTACATCTGCCCTTTGTGCTGCATTTGAATCCATCCCAGTGGCGGCAACAGAAGGCCAGCGTGTGGTAGGGGATCTTCTGCGAGACAATTGCGCCTCGAAAGTCTTATTGCTGTTTTCGTCTCTCCCTGAAGGTAAGGGGCGACAGACAATACAGAAGACAGGGCTGCTGGGAGTCTTGGCGCTTCTAGAGACGCCTTGAGACTATGTCCTCCCTGTTCTATTCGCTGGAAGCTATCCAGCCAACTTGTTTAGTTCCTTCTGTTTTCACGACTACCCACAGGAGAGACAGCGGCGCTCAAGGCAATAGATGCCCTCGGAGCTGATCTCGAGAGGGAGACACCAGAGCTACTTAACAATCCGTAAGTCGATTTGCACGCACAGCCACTGTTGCCTAGCTGAGCGACAAAGTTTATAAGGCTGCGTAGCGGGCTATCAAACTTGTGCAAGCACAGACAGAGGCGGAGAGAGAAAAACAAAGTAGTGGGCAAGAAAGTGAGCCACGCGGAGAGACTGCGAAAGAGAAATCGAGGGGAAGCACAGGAGAGAATGACGATTGATACAAACAGAAGGAACGGGCAGAATGACGAACTGACGCAGACTGTAGCGGTAGAGGAAGGAAGAGCAGGACACAGCACATGCGACAATAAGGCGCATTCAAACGCCTTCCTACAGGTTTCACGTACTTTGCGTAAGAATAAGCTGTTGTCCCGTTCTATTCTATACATCTGCAGAGCATCTCAGCGGGCCGCCTGTGGCCTGATTAAGTCAGGAAGTCCAGCGGTATTGTCGCGTGCTTGGTCCACCTTTGAGTCTCGCCTATCCTCTGCCTTGGAGACAAAGGGAGTGTTCGTTGTCGCGCGAATTCTCAAGACGGCTGCGGAGACGAAACAGACGGATATGGAAGCAGAAGTAAGGCAGCTCAAGAGAGAATGGATCGACCGAGAGTAGCATGCAAGGAGTTTAGCGGTAGACAATAAAGATAGACCCATAGAGCGTGCATTTTGAAACCAGACAAACGTGCATGCACCCTCTTGTCACCACAGGTGAGAGGGCGGCTGGACGAGAAGACACTAAGCGCCGCGGAGGCATCACTCGCAAAGTCAGGTGCGCAATCAAAGGATCACTGTTCGGGCTTTACGTTATGAAATGCAGGCATGACGCCTCCAGGACACTTTTGGTTCTCGGTGTCTACACGTGGAAGCCTGAAAAATGCTGTATCTTTTCTTCTATGTGCTACTTACTTTTGGACTGCTATTGCTTTTAAACTTGCTCCACCCTTGTTCATATTGTTCTTTTCTTCGAGTGCGCTTGTGTTTCAGCCGATGCCTCTGGCTTCACCTCAGCCTTCGTCAGTGAGTTTTTCTTTACCAACACTGATTGACTTCCCCCTTTCGCCTACATCTGTATCTTTTCAGGGTTACCCTCTACGGGGCTTCAGCTTCTGCGGAAGGATTTAGGTCTCTGAAGGCTTCGAAACATGCACTTTAACCGCAGCATGACAATGCAAAATTGAGAGGAGGGGTAGTGCTATTATTTGTTCCTGGATAATCCAGCTACAGGCCGAGCGCCGGCGCCTAATTGGCTGCCTTTCCGATGTAGAAATGAATAAGAACGCTTACCTTTGCCTGCCAGTACTGCTATTCTGGCAGCTTGCGAAGGGCGTTCTTGCAAATGCCGAAGAGACCATTTTTTCGCTGCTACCCGGAGACAGCGTTCGTGGCGAGGATTTAGTATGTTTCTTTTAGGCATGGCCTCTTGTGAGCTCTGTTTATTTCTCACTCCTGAAACCAGTTGAAATTCTATCCCTGAAGTAGACGAATTAGTTGATGGAAGAAGACAGTTACAGCTTTTCTTGGCGCAATTATTGACGCCACGTGCTAATTTGCTTTCTGTACCCATTTATTTAAGTTTCTATCCGGCCTGTGGACCCGAAACAGCGTGCGAATACGTATGAGCCTAGCGCTGAAGCCTTAAACCGTGATGCCACTTAGTAGGAGCTGTGGACGCATTCGGCTTAGTATTGCTCAGTATCGCACTGGTAGATACTTAGAGCTGCCTGAAAAGGCAGAACGACAAACTAACCTGCAGTACGAAAAGCTTCGAGTCCACGGGAACGGGGAGGGTCCACACACAATTCAAATGCAGCGAGGGCTACACTTCAAAATACATCATCTCTTGAGTTTTACTCGCCATGCGGCAACTGGAGACGTCTCTAGGATGCAACTTTTTACTTGTCGACTTAGGTTTTATTTCGAGTGCCTTCTCGGTCTTACTGTCCAAAGTAAATCTGGCTACCCTCCGCCAGACGCAACTAGGTGAGTCGCTGGCCACCTCATCCCACCTGTATCCGCTGCACTTTACTGGCTAGCTGCAGCTAACCCCCGTGACTGCAAACTTGGTCCCTCTGGTCTGCCATGATAGCAGAGTTCCGCCTCCGGAGGAACTAGGGATCTGCCCTGTGGAGTTATCCTCCTGCCATATTGCTCTCTCAGGCACATCAGGCCTCAGGTGGCAGAGCATTCCCACACCGTGCTTCTAGCTGGAGATCAACAAGGGAAACACTATTGTGTGCGTGGGCGCACGTGAGCGCCTTGTGATTTTGTCTTGCCTGCTTTCAGTGTCTCCAGTGCTCCTGCCACGAGTTGTGGGATATCACAGATGGAGCAATTCCAATGCAAAAAAGCAAATCTACTTAAAAGTTTGTTTGTATTTGGCGAAAGGTTCGTCCTGTGGACACCGTCCTGAGTGCTCCAACTCTGGCTAGCCAGGACTGGAACGCAACTAGGTGTCTGCCTAATAGCAGCGGTTCACACAAGCCATATTTATAGGAAGCCGCACTCAATAAGAGCATTATTTACTTTGTTTCGGCAGAAAATAAATGTTGCTGTTTCAACGCACAAGCCGCGCACAGCCTGCGCTCACCGCGTGGCAGACAATCGCTGATGCTTGAGGGGACCCTCCGACCGCCCTTGTGATTGTTTTGTTTTACCCCAGCTCTTCCCGGCGTTTGTGTTTACTACGTCACAGTTTGTTTTTGGTATTCTTTGAAAGCAATTCAATCCGTTCAGGTGCTAGTTTCCATCCCTTTTACATTGAAACTTTCTTCCTAGTCCCAGTGCCACTCACACACAGCAGGTAATATTCGCACGTGTATATTTGAAGTTTGGGGAATGTGACACTGCCTCTGCTTTGTCATTTTCAGTGTAACCCCCAGATAATTGTTTTTTTTATTCTCATTTTCGTACTTCTAGGAGACCTGAGTAGCAGGACCCCTACCGCCTGCAGCCGCTCGATCCCTCAAAGAACATGCGTTCCTCACCGCCACCCCGCATTCGCCATCAAAGGCTTACGGCCCTCTCTGTCTTGCTTTTTGTACTAGCTACCTTTTGTTGCCTGTCAGGAGAAGCCCTTAGGTCCAATGAAGCCCCTAACCTCAGCGTCCCAGGCGGGGCGGATGGGCATCGTCACACACAAGCGGTTCAAGTCTCCTCAGAGCCAGTGAGCGCTGCAGATCTTAGCTATGGCGACAGGACAAGCAGCAGTAGCGCTACTTCAGAGGCCATGGCCGACGTGAAGGAAGCCCTTGATCGCGCTGCTGCCGGGGTGTCTCTGCAACTGCCGTACTCGGATGACTTCAAAGATGCTCTCGCAGTGCACAAGGCCACAGGCATTTGCAAGCCCTGGACGGACCCGGAGACAAATACGGTAAGGACTTCTGCACCCCAACATCTCTTCAGTGCGCTCAGCTGGGAGCACTGCCTCCGTTGCGTGTTCCTGTTCTTGTTTGTGGATGAGTGTGGGAGTTTAAATGATTTTGCATGTGACGCTGCATTCTCAGTGTATCTGCGTCTATTTTCTTGTTCCACAGCTACCTTGAGCTGCGTGAATATTTTTTGAAAGCGTGCATGAGCATATTTGTAGATTCATGTCTTCCAACAGGCTTCTATGATTTCGACAGGTATGCATGTTCGTTTGCATGCCCGCATGCCTACACTTTCTGGGGCTTTTACACGTGTGTGAATACGCCTGCACGCATGCACTTAAAAGAATCACCTACATCTATGCATGAACACAAATTTACTGAAGTAAATGTCCCAATGCGTTTGAGAAATACATAATTTCCCTTACCAGAAGCGAGGCGGTAACTAGTGCCTTCAGGAGAAAAACATGTTTTTCACGGCAGGGTGCTGTACTACGCGTGCGTTCATGTGTCTTTACTTGCGTTGACCGAACAAACCCGGCTCCTGGGGCGATTGGTCTCTCCTGTTACGTGTTACATGCTTCTCTAAATGTGCCTTCACTCCAAAAGATGAGCATTTGGGACGAAAATCACGAAGGAGTCAGATAGTGTGTATATGTGTACGTATGTATGTATGTATGTATGTATGTATGTATGTATGTATGTATGTATGTATGTATGTATGTATGTATGTATGTATGTAATGTATGTAATGTATGTAATGTATGTAATGTATGTAATGTATGTAATGTATGTAATGTATGTAATGTATGTAATGTATGTAATGTATGTAATGTATGTAATGTATGTAATGTATGTAATGTATGTAATGTATGTAATGTATGTAATGTATGTAATGTATGTAATGTATGTAATGTATGTAATGTATGTAATGTATGTAATGTATGTAATGTATGTAATGTATGTAATGTATGTAATGTATGTAATGTATGTAATGTATGTAATGTATGTATATGTATGTATGTATATGTATGTATGTATATGTATGTATGTATATGTATGTATGTATATGTATGTATGTATATGTATGTATGTATATGTATGTATGTATATGTATGTATGTATATGTATGTATGTATATGTATGTATGTATACGTATGTATGTATATGTGTGTATGTACTATGTGTGTATGTATATGTATGTATGTATATGTGTGTATGTATATGTGTGTATGTATATGTGTGTATGTATATGTGTGTATGTATATGTGTGTATGTATATGTGTGTATGTATATGTGTGTATGTCTGTGTGTGTGTATGTGTGTGTGTATGTGTGTGTGTATGTGTGTGTGTATGTGTGTGTATGTGTGTGTATGTGTGTGTATATGTGCGTTTCTGTTTGTGTCTGTGTGGAGGGGTGGGGGTGGAAAAGGAGGGGGTGTGCTGGGGAAGGTTGTGGTTGTGGGTGCTTTTGAGTGGGTGGGGCACTCTGTGTGTGTGCAAATGTCTTTATGTGGGTGCATGTGGATGCGTGTGCGTGTTGCTTTTCGTGTATGTTTTTGTCCATGTTGAGCAGATCTCAAGTGGGTTGTCTGAAGACGTAATGGTGCGTCGGCTGCAGCAGCGAAAGGACATGGACGAAGCACTTGAGGAAGAGGAACTGGAGGATTTTCAGGAGGCCTTAGACTCAAACGACTCAGAAGACATTGCTGCTGCTGTGTGGGCCATATTCTTCAGGCCGTTGCCCTTCAGCTGTGTTTTGATTGGCGTATTAGTGCTGCTGCTTTGGTTGCTGCTCTTAGTGCCACAAAGCTGTTGCGCACGCTGCCGCTGGGTGTGCTGCTGCTGGCCCCGCAAGCATATCACCTTCAAGGCTGGTCACAGCCTCGTGGTCCTGATATTGGGGGTCATTCTTGCCACCTGTTCAGTGTACATGCTTATCCACGGCCAAATGGCCGTGCATGAATCCATTAACGCCATGGGAGCTTCCAGCTGCTCAGCCCTGGAACTTGTGGAAACCGCCGAGTGGGGAGACCCGGAACTACAAGGGGAGGGTAAAAGCAGTGGCGACCGCTCTACGCCCCTTCTGACCAAAATTCTATTAGCAGGCAAGGGCTCATTCCTCGGTGTCCGATCTCTGTGGGCGGCAGCGGAGGGCGTGAAGCAACTGCTGTCGGCGGATAGCAAATACAACCTGGCAACCCTAATCAAAGGAAAACTAGGAACGGAAGACACTGTAGAGGACAAACTGGAGGTAATTGATGAATCAAACTCTGCCTTTCAGTTCAACATCAAAAGTTTTCAAAATGCAGCACAGAAACACTACATGAAGAGCCTTTTTGCTGAAGCCGTCAGCAAATATGGCGACAACCTTTATGACCCATTTATCTCTGGCGTAAATAGCCTCACTAGCGCTGTCGATTCAGCCCTGGCAGCAGCTCCCCTGCCATCCCTGGACCTCACAAAAGCTGTGGACCTGCATGGCCTCGAGTCAGGCACCTCGCGTATGCAGCAGATGGCCGTGGAGGTCTGTGACGTCGCTTCTCCTGTGGCTGCATTGGCCCCGTTTTTGATCTGGACAGAAGCGGCAATGCTGCTTATCGGCATCGTTTGCGCAGTAGTGGCTCTGGCTTTCTTTTTCACCACTCACGGCCGTCGGAGCGTTACCGCAAGCGGCCTC